CACTTACTGTATATGCGATGGGCTGCAAAGATTGCGACTCCAGCTGCCACTGCAGTTCCCAAGCCTGCCGATTAGGGAAGAAATCAAGCGATTGGTTTGCAGCTGTTTGAGATCTAGTTCCTGGATTGGCTTGCAACGACGCCCTCTTCCACCTTGGCGACCTTGCTGCATAATAGACGATTGGGTAGGCGAAGGTTATTCATCCCCACGACATGGTCATTCCATCGCAGTTGCGCATGCCTCAACATAAAGTGGATTCTGAGGATTCCGATTTTTTCCGGGACTTCCGTGCCTTTGACCCCCAGATTTGCTATTCTGCTGGGCGGTCGAGGTGGAAATAGCTGAGTACCCTTGCTTAACTTTTGTAGGCTGTCCGTATCTCCTTCTCATGTAAGAGCCGAAGGTCTGACTGGCTTTAAACATCCGACCTGCAATTTCGCCGTTGATCTTGATGTTTCATGAGATTGTACAGCACAGGTAGACGAATTTGTCTACAGGTATCAGGAAAATTCTATTTACGCCTAAACTGGGCACGTTGTATTCATCAGTCGGTGCTGTTTAGTACAAAATCTACTTCGTCTCTGTATTTATGGGTAGTTTGGAGTTTGTACAACCGGTGGCAAAGAGGTCCTCTCTCTCTCTCTCTCCCTTACATGCCCGCTTCCGTCGTGGTATTAAGCTCGCAAGCATCAGCGAACAGGAGATAATGAACACTGGTCGTGGAAATTCGAGTGGTTGTTTGCATGCCCCGGATGCTGAGAAATTGCGTGTTTGGTTGGTAGACAATGTCTATCCCCGGCCGCTCCTCACGGTAGACGTCCATTAGCAACTGCTTCCGAAACTGCCCCCCTGTCTGTGATACGAATCGTCGTTCTGTTAGAGCTTTGTCGCACCATTTGTATAAAAAGCGTCGGATATCCTAATATCAGTATAATGCTTCAGATTCCACCGCGATTGACTGCAATAAAAGCCCCCCTATCAAAGCCATGATTGCGATGTAGAGGATGATCCTCATTTCCCCGCACTTTTCCTGTAGTTGACGGACAGCGAAGATCATGACAGTGGTCAGGTGATGCCTGGGAAATGCACTTTTGACCTCTAGGGAGAAATTTTTGTTGCCCCTTCAGGTGTAGGCTATTTTTCAGGACGCGAAGGAGGGTTTTGTCTGCTAGGTTCGGTGCGGCATGGGGGTGGGCAATGGATTTTTGCTAGGCATTTGAACCGCGTGTCTTGTGTCCACAAGTAAAGGCCAGCTTGCTGACGACCTTATTATCGAAAACTTCTTTTGGGCGCCTTTTCCAGCGTGTTCTCTTTTGGCAGGGGATAAGCGGTGCTCTCCCTCGGTAGAACCACAGAGGCAGCCCAGACGGTTGCCCGAATCCTTTATATGTCAGGGCCTCAGTCCAGTGCAAAGACGATCCGAATTAGTCTGATTAGCTTATACGAACGCTCACTTCATGGGACTTTTTGTGTTTGGATGAGGGAGGATGGGACGGGGAGCAGGACTACCGAGTGCGGGAGTACCCCCCCCCCTCACACCTGGTTTAACCTGTCGTTCAAAACGGTTGCGTGCTCTCGCTCCAATGAACCACAGCGATGAGGGTAAACGATGAGCTCTGCGGAGCAGCTAACACGTGCTCAAAACTACCTGTTGCTTCTACACGGTGTATTCCTCATTTTACACCTGGAGTGCACGTGCGTATGCATATACACGGAGGCAAACCCCGCGACTTGGCCTTCATCAGCGTAATAATTGAACATGTAAGCTCAGGTTTTTATTACCATAACATGCTTACTGGTCGGATCTTATTTCGAAGCCATACCTGTAATAGACAAGCCCCAGCCTAGCCCGCCAACCTTAACCCCTGACAGGTACGGCTACGAAATAAGATCTTGCCAACTAACTTATTCAGGTAGGTATGTCACGTTAGATTTTACCCGTCGTAAGACGTCTAGGGTTAGGACTAGCGCCCGGATTTTGCGTCTGGGGTTATCGTCCAAGATTACGTTTGGGTTTAGGGCTAGATTTAGAGTTAGGGTCGGGCTGAAGATCAGGGTTGGGGGAGGGTTAGGTTTGGGAGTAAGGGATAGTGTTCAGTTCGCCTGTCGCATATCGTCTTACCCAATTTGGCATTCATCAACCAATAACTTCGGACTACCCGTTTTCTGTCAGTTTACACAACCCTAGATTGGAGGGCCTGTTTCGGCGCCTCGTTTGAAGTAACAAAGCAAACGTCCGGCAGAAATGCGAGTTATCCCGGCGCCTTCTGCCTACTACGTTAATTGGCGCTTCCATCCGCCCTACTGATAAAACTACTATTAACACACTTCTCGGGCTACAAGAGTCCCTGTGGTCTATTTTCCCAGCGGGCTTGCATATGCAATATTTGTCCTTCTTCAATAACTGTCTGCACACAAAGACGTCCGCGAATTCGGAAACAAAGGTACAGTTAAGTAGAACAAAAACAAGAGACACGGGACTGATTGAGGTCTGCATTTCGAGGCCAGATCCACAGAATCTGCATCTGGACAACGTACTCACCTATATTCAATCGTCTTGCCAGATTCCGCGGACCCGCTGTTGTCCAGACGACAACAAGAACGGATTGTGGACAGGGGTCACAAATGTGCTTCTTTATGGTTGTTTACGCAGACTCAGTGCACATTTCAGAAATTTCAGGTAAATAGCACTTTTGTTCCGCCGGCCGCCCTCGTCCCCTCGACGGGAACAGTTGCCTGGACTCTTCAGTATCTGAACCAGTCTGTGCGGAAATTCCGAACACAAATACAGTGAGCGTCTGAGCAGTACATTTGGTCCATGTAGACAGAAAAGCAGACAACGACGAGAGAGAGATCGCGAATCATCAGGCAATGTGGAAGGTGACTGGCTGCTGGGCAGGCGAAATCATAACAACTGCGGCCCCAATTTCATTGATATTATGATTATAGAGGGATGCGTCTCGAACTGTCGGTATGTCAGAAAAACTATGTTGGTTTCCTCGGCTGCCTCACTCTTCCATCAAGCCTTACATCTGGGCCTACATCCATGAAACAAGAGCCTAGAATTTAGAAAAGCAGGGCAAG